TTTTCAGAATAATATTAATTATTTAAAATTAGTGATATCTCTATATTGGCTAATTTTCCAGGACTACATAATATGCAACATTTATATAAATTAAATCAAAATATTATTTTAGGTGTGGTGTATCTCCAGTTTGTCCACCAAGCTGCCCCCATATTTTTTAGGAACTATTGCAAAAGCCTTCTAACTGGACTCTGCATAGTCACTTGATTTCCTCCTCCCCAAGTTATTTTTCCACACTGATGATAGAAGACTTTTATGTTTTGTTTTTTAAAATATCTGATTATGTGACTGGCTGCTTAATAAAATGCTGCAGTGCCTTCACATTGCCATTGGATAAAGAGCAAACCTCTTATGGCCAGTTCATCCTGGGTGGTCTGGTCCCTGTCTGCTCTCAGTCTCATTTCATAGTTTCCTACAGTGCTCTCAGCCTTGCATATGCTGGTTCTTGTGCTGGGAACATGCTCCCCTTACCTGTTCCCCTCCCACACCCCTCTTTTATATCTGTTCTTCCTTTGGATATCAACTCAGGCTTCACTTTCTCAAGGAAGCCTCTGATTTTCTGACCAAGTTAGTTCCTCTTTTCTATGCTGTCATGGCACTGTTGTTCTTTTTCCTTTGTACCATTTATTGCCATTGTGGTTTTACATTTACTTGTGATTCTTTTGTCGTTGCCAATCTCTTTCATTAGACCATAAGTTCTGCAAGTTTCCAGCCTAGAACAGTGCCTGATGTATGGAAGGTGTTTACTCTGTATTGACTGAATGAATGAATGAATGATGAGGTTTTTGTTTATATTAGCTGAAAGGAAAACAATTCTGTAGAACTTTAGTGATAAAGATTTTAAGATACTAAATATTGTTTTCATTTATGACACTTTGATGACAATAAAGTTCTCTTCCAATTTTTATACATATTGTGGAGTATTAGATAATTAAATGTAGTAAAGTGAGAACATATAGAATCACAGAGTAAGAAAAAAACCCTCAGATGTCAAATATTCCAGGCTTCTAAGTGTTACATCCAAAGCTCTGGAGCTTCCCAAACATCTCTAGTAATAAAGGGCTCTGCATGATCAGGGGCTGCTCCATTTTTTCATTTATTCATGTTGAGCCAAAATTGGCCTGCCATAGCTTCCCTCCATTAGTGTCAGTCTCTACTGTAATACTTACTATTAATATTATCTGTATAAGCTTAGCATCTTAGAGATTTTCTTCCCCTACCTCAAGAATAAAATTTCTTATTCTCTTTTGGTTGTGAGCTAATTTTTGAGTCTATCTCAGTACTTTTAAAAAAAGATGTTAGTGAAGTGAATTTAAAGAAATAGTGTTTTAGAAACAGTTATTTAATTTACTCAAGCTCTTTGTCTGTCCTGTAGGTTAACTACTGTCTTATGTGAAAATTACTGATCAGAGGATGTGCTTTTCTGAATACTCTATTAATTTTTGTCAACTAGTTCATTACGCTTTCTTTTCCTGACCTTTTCAGTAGTGCATTATGAAAGGGGCAAGTATTTCATTGATAATAGTGATTGGGGAGTGGGAAGAATTCCTTAATTATTATTATTTGGGGAGGTAGAAAAGCAAGATTACATATGCTAGCAGAGTAGGGAAGACTTTTTGAGAGATAGAAGGGGAAAAGGAGTAGGAGAAAGAAAATATAGGTGTTGAGAAAAAAATAGATTGCAAAATAGTAACAAGGATTGAGAATGTAATTTGCTGATCACTTGATCACCTATTCCACAGTATTATATACTTTACCCATGTTGTCTCTTCCATACAATGACTATAGAAAGTAGACATTGTTACCCTCATTTTATAGAAAGGTGACAGTCTCTTAGTCATACTGCTAAGTGAATGACAGAAGTATTTTTCAGACCTAGGCTTGTCTGGTTCTAAAGACAACTGTTCTAATTTGACATAGCATATAGTTTTGCATATGAGATGAAGCAGATGGAGAGTCACTATATAGCATAACGGTTAAGAGTGTGTAGGCCGGGCGTGGTGGTTCACGCCTGTAATCCTAGTACTCTGGGAGGCCAAGGCAGGAGGTTCGCTCAAGGTCAGGAGTTCGAAACCAACTTGAGCAAGAGCGAGACACTGTCTCAACTAAAAATAGAAAGAAATTAATTGGCCAACTGAAAATATATATAGAAAAAATTAGCTGGGCATGGTGGCGCATGCCTGTAGTCCCAGCTACTCAGGAGGCTGAGGCAGAAGGATCGCTTGAGCCCAGGAATCTGAGGTTGCTGTGAGCTAGGCTGACACCATGGCACTCTAGCCCGGGCAACAGAGTGAGACTCTGTCTCAAAAAAAAGAGTGTGTGTGTAGACTCTAGAGCCTGTTGGCCTGGGCTCAAATCCTGGCTCCGGCAAGGCCCTGTTACCTATCAGCTATGGTACTTTGGGTACGTTGCTTGATCTTTCTATGTGCCTCATTCTCCTCATCTGTAAAATCAGACTAATTGTGGTACCTTCCTCTTAGAGTTGTAAATAATTTAGTTAGTATATAGTAAAAGAACTCCTGACATACAGAAAGCAATATATAAAGTATAATATAAGTGTTTGCTGCTGCTATTCTTAGTAGTAGTAGTAGTAGTAGTAGTAGTAGTAGTAGTATGTGTGTATGTATCCTATGAAAGGTCCCATCTCTGAGAAGTTTGAGGAAGATGCTGTCAAAACTGTTGTCAGAGCCATTTCATCAGTGTGACTCAGTCTGACTTGTCTCAAGGCTCACCTCTTAGAGTACTCTGTGTCATCATATCCTTCATCCCATACCAGGCCCAGCCCCCAAAACACACAGACACACACACACACACCCTCACCTTTCTCTTTTCCCATTCTAGAATTAAAAGCCATTTCAGATCTTCTCTTTTATTATAAAAGAAAGGACGAATAAAGTTTCCCTGCAAGTAATATATAAATAAGGATCTAGTAGCCTAAGTTAAAAGTTGCAATTCAAAGTGAAAAATTTAGAACAAGCTCTTATTTTACATTTTCTTTTTCCAAAATAGAGTGCTTCCCAGCCTCCCTGCAATCCAGCTCCATAGGATTTAAGCCGATTGTTACATGCTAATAGTTCTGGGGCATTTCTGATGATTATTTGCTTCTGTTGTGAAGTTTCTTTATTACTTTAACTTCCTTTCCCTAAAAAATTAGAACTTTTTAAAAAAAATCACTAACTCTTCTAACTTGCTGATGATCACTTACTTAGTTAAGGAGAACATATGAGCAGAGAAAGAGCTATAGCTGTTACTTTGCAGAAAACCTAAATATTTGTCTTATTTTGAAACCGGTGAAAGGTAAAAAAGGGCCCTTTTAAAAATTTCTGTTTGGAAGCTTGAGGGGCAAAGATTTTCTTAAGTAATAGACTATTTCTGGTTGTGTTAACTTTATTAGCTTTAGTTAATTCTTTGTTCAGAACTCACCAAGAAGTCTTAATAATTCAATGAAGTATTATAATACTAATTTTTAATGTTTTTTATCATATTCAAGAACTGTATTTATGTATTATTTATGCTGTATATGCTATAATATAATCTATTTGATTACTGCTCATTAGCATTGGTCTGAGTATTAATTTATCATAATATATATCCATAGTTTTCTTTTCCTTCTTTTTTTTCAATGATGCCATTTAGTTCTTGTATAACAACCATTTACAATGCTTTTTTTTTTTGAGATAGAATCTCGCTCTGTTGCCCAGGTTAGAGTGCCTTGCCGTGGGTCAGCTTAGCTCACAGCAACCTCAAACTCCTGGGCTCATGCGATCCTCCTGCCTCTGCCTCCCGGATAGCTGGGACTACAGGCATGCGCCACCATGCCCGGCTAATTTTTTTTAGATATTTTTAGTTGGCCAATTAATTTCTTTCTATTTTTCAGTAGAGACAGGGTCTCACTCTTGCTCAGGCTGGTTTCGAACTCCTGACCTTGAGCGATCCTCCTGCCTCGGCCTCCCAGAGTGCTAGGATTACAGGTGTGAGCCTCCATGCCCAGCCAACCATTTACAATGCTTTAAAAAAAAAAAATGTAGTCCTAGAAAGTATTCCTAGCCTCAGGTATAGCAGAAATTATAAAAGTTCAATCCTCATAGCAAAAAAAAAAAAAAAAAATACAACATTCTAATTTAAAGTCCTACTGTAGGTGGGGAACCTAAGGCCACATGTGGCCCTCTAGATTCTTAAGTGCGGCCTTTTGCTTGACTCCAAATTTTACAGAGCAAATCCTTTTATTAAAAAGAGTGCAGCAGAGAAAGATGAAGTTTTTCTTTCTTCCTTTGGTGCTTGAAAAAGCACAATATTGAAATCAGAAGGCTGCAGGTTCCTCACCCCTAATCCTTTCCTTCTCTGAGCTGCATCTCTACCTGTGAAAACAAATCATTTTTTTACCATTCCCCCCTACCACCATCATCTCCAAACAGTAACACTTCATCTAAGCCAAAGAATTTATATTTCAGTTGCTATCAACTACCACAAGGCAGTTTAAAACTGTGGGGTCTTATTGTCATCAGAGCAAATGATTCAGATTGTGAGCTGGGATATAGACAGCGGGAAAATCCAGAAAGAGGAGGGGTCAACATCATCAAGTCTCACAATTTGAGATTGTCACCCATTCAGAGGTGGGGAACCTGCAGCCTCAGGGCCACATGTGGCCCTCCAGATCTCCAAGTGTGGCCCCTCGACTAAATCCAAATCTTAAATTTTTTTAGGATTATAATACTTCATTAAATTATTAAGACTGACTTGGTGAGTTCTGAACAAAAAATCAGTTAAAGCTAATAAAGTTAACACAGCCTTTAGGTTGTGTTGTGCCCTATGGGATTTGTTCTGTAAGATTTGGGTTCTGTCAAATGGCCGTACTCGAGGATCCAGAAGGCCACATGTGGCCCCAAGGGCGCAGGTTCCTCACCCCTGCTGGGGTGAGCATATTTTTAGTAATTTTCTAACTTGATCTGACAGATCCTGTGAGGGTATATTAATCTTCTTGCTTCTTTACTTGTTGGCAGGGAACTTGTACACGACAGCCGGCATAACCTCCAGTTGAGGGGCTTAGTGGTGCTGCTTATTTCTAAAGCAGCTGGGCCCAGCAGCATGAACGCTTCATGTCAGAACTATGATATGGTCAGTGGGATCTACTCATGGTAAGAAGAAATTAGTCTTTTAGAAATTAGACATTGCTCTCTAAATTGTGTTTTCTTCTACTGGACAGTGCTCAATGGAAATTGTTGTTTAGCTCTTTGTCATCCTCTGATTCAAAGATAGATTAAAGCATATTATAAGGTTAAAAATGGATTTCTGTTGTTCCTAATAAGTCAGATAGTCTTGGTCAGCTCTATGCATAACTCTGGTAAATTTTTCCACACATTTGTATCAAATACTTTCATCTCTGCCTTAGGCATTTAAAATTTTCTATTCATCACTTCCCCCTCCTGCTATTATGCTATCATTGTGTCTCTTTTGAGACCTCTGTGTCACTTAGTTCAGGATTTATGATTTTCAGACCTATTCAAAATGATACCTAGTTGTATAAAGATTGATGCTACTACCATTATAGGAGATGGAATCTACTCTTTTACTAGTTACTGGAATAAGAAAATTTTACATCTTACATATTTAGATTAAAAAATAAATTTATAAGTATGTATTACTCAATTTTTGCTACATATAAAATGAACTTAAAATTTTCAGTTTTGCTTAGAAAAATCACTGCTTTTATTTTTAGTAACAGCATATCAGCAATAATGTTATTTAATCCTAGTAGTATGCTTGACACTGTGTTAAAAGTCTATATAGAAGTAATAACCTGCAGGTGGTCTTTGGCATGTGAAATTAAAACAGCCCTAAAAACATAGGTAACAAGGAAATTGTTTTCACTAAAAGAAGCATTTCTAGAAACTTTGACTTGCAGCTAATTGACTTTGTTGATTTACTTTAAAAATCAATCTACATCTTTGATTTTTTTTAATTCTTAGCAGTCTTACCCTTAATTTTTTTCTTCCATAATATTTAGAGGTGACTGTTGCTTGCCAGCTATGTAGTCCAATGAGCATTCCTCACTAACAAGCAAAGGTAACTGTTGTGGCTACAAATGCCCACTCTTCCAGCCAATATAATTTTTTTTTTCAGTAGACCTTTTACCATTTATCTACATAAGTATCTTACCTATAAGGGATATCCTGGGAGCATTTTCAGAGCCTACTCACTCCGAAATAATTTTTATTTGTTTAGTGCTTTTAGGTTACTAATCATTTTTATGACAGTCAGCCACCCCATTTGAGCTTTATAATAATGTAATAGGTAAGAATTGCTATACTTATTTTACTCTTAAGAAAACTGATTAAAAAATCTGAGACTGTTCCAGGTGATACAGCTGGCAAATGGGGAAAGTTGAAGCCCTAACTATAGTTCTCTTCTTTCCAAATCTCATGTTTTTTTTTTTCCTGATTTCATTCCACCCTTCTAGTCTGTTTCAAAGAATATATTTCAGTTGCAGATTAGAGTAGCCATTAATTTAGTATGCAAAAAAGGTCTTCTTGTAATTATGTCTTAAAAAACTTTTAAATGGAAAGCTTCTTGGCAAATCTTTAATACATGTACATCCTTCCCCAAAATCTATTTTAATTTTGAACTCCAAATTTTACCTTATAAATTTTGTAGAAAATCCTTGGTTAAGTTTAGTTGAGATAACTAAAGAAAATACATAAAGATTTAGAATGAATACTAATGACCTGTTAATCCCTAGAAAGCAAATGGACCTCATATCACCTTATATCCTATGTATCTCTATTTCCTGATAGGAATTCCATTGATTTTCGGTTTGTTGACTTGGACCCTGTCGTATTGGTTAGTTATGTGCTTGTACATTTGGGTAATCACACATTTGTCTAATGAACACCAGCTATGTTATGTTATCTCTAATCCTAAAATAACTCTTAGAAGGTACTACTTGATGCATAATAGATTTCAGTAAGTATTTGTTGGATAAGTGAATTATCCCCATTTTATAGAAGAGGTAACCAATACTGAGGTTAAGACATTTCTAAAATCTTCTAGGTAGAAAGTGATAAATTTGGGATTGCAATTCTATTTTTATTTTAAAGTTTGTACCCATTTTACTAGGCAGGGGCTATGATCCGTATGTACATGGTGCACCGTGTATATACAGATAATATGAAACCTTGTGTCTGTAATTTCTTATCTAGCCTCCAGGAAAGAATTGTATTGCTTCTGATCCTTCACATACTATATTTGGTAGATGATCTTTGTAATCTAAGAAATCTGAGTAAAAGTACTTTGCAAAAGAGTAGATGTATATTATGAACATAAAAACTTCCCAATAATATAAATAAATTCAAGTGTATAGAATCGACAATCAAAATTAGGGAATAATCCTGGCATGTAGTTCCTGGCTGTTTTCGCAATCAAACTTGATCTAGTAATTCATTGGGGTGTTTGAGTGTTTTATACACTTGTTAATGTGAAAAAGTAATTTGGCATAGTACTGTGAGAAAGCATTAATTTGTTTCTCAACCCCTGAAATCATTTGTTTAGCTCCTGCTTCCTTAATTGTTCAAGTTAAACTTTGCTGGAGGCTTGTATATATAATGCCACAGTGAATTTTTTAACATTTAAGGTGAAGTACTGATTTGGGTGCTTTTTAGTTCACCTCCAAACTACTGAGATTCACATTGTTGGTGTTTTTCTCTCATAAACTTGACTTTGATGTCAGATAATGGGACCTGAGTAAATTACTTGAGAGACTAAACATGAATTAGGTTATCTCTTTTGTCTGGCCTAAGGATATAACTGGTGCTTATGGATGTCTCTAGTGAACTTACCACCTAATGGCCAAGAAAGATAGAATTTAGGCTAAAATGTGATAAGTATATTTTGAAAAACAGACAAGCGAGCCACATTTATAAACATGCACTATAGCCTTTTGCCAATGAGAACATGAGCTTTAGGTTCATTTTACCAACCCTGACTTTTAAAAAATTGGTTGCAGAGCCAGTCAAAAAAGTATTGCCAAATTTGCAAATATCCCTAGCCACAATTGAGAAAGTTTAGGCTTTTCTAGTGTAACGTGATTATTAAGTTTAAAGAAATTCTGGTGAATTTTTTTACTAATGGTTCTGCTTCCTCAGTTCCTTTATCGAGAACTGACTCATTTTTTTTTTCTCATGTAACTAGCAGTTAAAACCAGATCACAAAATGAACATATTTTCACTCTACCTTCCTTCCCTGAAATTTCTCAACCCCTTGACTGTTGTAGAAGAGAATGAAGCAAGCATGCCAAACACATTTTCTTTTCTTCCTTGACTACATTTCCCAGCTTCCCTTGCAGTTGCTGACCATGTGGCTGAGGTCTAGCCAATGGAGTATGAGCAGAAGTGATATTGACTATTTCCTGACCATAAAAATCTTGCATGTGTAATACTCCTTAAGCTGATGATTTGAAAGTGACCCATTCAAGATGAAAGATGCCTGTATCCCTTAAGCACTCTTGGAGGAGAGCTACCTACCTATCAGGTACATCCATATAGACTACATGTATGAGAGGAAAAATCTGTTTGTTAAGCCACTTAAATTTTAGGGCTTACAAATTATTCAGGCATTCATTCGGATGTTTTTTGGTCTATTAAGTGCCAGACTCAGTTCTGCTGCGGGGAAAAATATCAAATAGAGAAACAGACTGGGTCCCTTATGTTCTAATAGGAAGAGCTTACACTCTAATGAGAGAAAAAAAATATGCAAGTAGCAATTAGGAAACTTTTGGTAAATTTTAAGTCCTATGAAGAAAAAACTGAAAGGGTAGAGAGTGACTGGTGTATATGTGTGTTGAGATGGGTGTCACTACTTCAGATGAGATGGTCAGGAAAGACCCTCTGAGGAGATGGATCACCTGAGTCTGGAATGATGTGGAAGTAGCATTTTATAAGAATATGGAGCAGAGGGAACAGCAAGTACAAATGCCCTGAGGTAAGAATGAGCTTGACATATTCAAGGACTAGAAAGAAGGCCAGTTTGGCTGTTGCAGAGTGGATGAGGGGAAGATTTGTGAAAAAGAGAAGTACCCAGAGGCTAGATCAGGTATGACATGATAGGCCTTGGTAAGGATTTTATGTTTTATTCTAATTGCAAAGGAAGAAGTTGATAAATTTTCTGGTTTGTTTGTTTAGTGGGGGAAGAATATGATCTGGTTTACATGTTAAAAAATAAGTCAGGCTGCTGTGTGGCCAATGGACTGTAAAGGCATAGCCAGGATGTGGAACGTGGAAGCAGGAAAAAGTTCAATGGGATGTTCTGGCTGGACCCAGGGCCTGGAGTTCCAAAGTTTTGGATGCATTAAGATTAGCTATCTCTCTGCCTTAGAGCATCTCCTCCCCACCTTATGTTATCACATTTGCTAATTTACATAGAGACAGAGGATCTTCCTGTGGAAAAAGGGATGAATCAGAGATGTAACTCCCTTAGAAGAATGACTATCCTGCCCTCCCAGGGCCCTAGCTTATTAGAGCAGTAGAAGAACAACTGTCTGGGCCAATCAGACTCCTCCTGGGAATTTCAAATTGCAACTCAGTCTTAGCTGTGTACACTTGAATGTCCCGGCCCGCGGGACCTTCTGTTACTCGTGGGGTCAAGGGGGAATGTGCCTGAAAGAGATGGGCGAGAGAAAGGAACGAGACCAAGCAAAGGGTTGTCAAGGTCTACTTTACTTAGATTCTTAGTAGGTTTTATAAGCATACAGAAACAAGGAAGTAGAAACAAAAAATGCAGTGGAGTGACGGTGAGTCTTGGGTTTGGGCTAATCAGCCCCAATCAGTATCTTATCGGTATCGAGGTTTGTGACTGATTACTCGACCCCAACCTGGCAGGTGGTCGGGAACAATTGCAGTTAGCACACCCTGGAGCATTTTTCTAGGGCGAGCGAGGCCGTGGTAAGACAAGTCATAGGGGAGTTGAGGGTCTTTGAGAGTCCTTGCCTCTAACACTTGAACATGGAAATATAACAGCCATGTTTGGGCATATACACAAAATAATTGCAATAGGGTCTTTACAGGCATAGGGTCTTTTACAGAGGTAATCAAGTTAAAATGAGGTCATCAGAATGGACTCTAAGCCAATATAACTGGTATCCTTA